ATTGTTTTTCTCATTGAAGAGATGCAAAGAGAATGAAAAGAATGAAAAAAATTGTCGCTTTACTCATGTCCCATGAGGGTTTTGTCTGGTAAATAAATACAGGGATAACTATGAGATTATTGTGACGAGCTTTATTGGAATAAAATAGTCTTTCAGTACAGAAGTTTGTTGCTATATCAACGATGTATAATATAAAAAAATTACATATCAAAGGTTATATAAATCATGATATGACTTATTTAAAACAGAGTTACCATTGGAAACAATTGTTAACAAACAAATTATTATTATTAATCCTTGTACTACCAACCAGGGTATATTTAGACCCTGTTCTCAAACAAGAAGAATGTGAGGTGACATATTTTTTTTTGCATGGATCGAAATATGAAATACATTCTATTTGTTGTGTCTAAAACAGGCTTGGGAGTACAAGGGTTAAAACAATTTCGGTTTTATTTCAAGACAAATTTTATTCTTAATAGCCACGATTTGTTAAAGAAATTTCAACAAGATCAATACTTTCAACAAAATAATTTTCATTTGGAAGAGCAGTCGTCTCGTAGTCATTTAAGGATGACTGGTAGTTTTTAGTCTCGTTCTCTATATGCAAAACATTGTATCATGAGAGACTGTTGTTCGTCATGTATATTCTTTTCTCGGCCATTCCAAATGTAACGGACTTACTCTTTTTTTTCTGTCCGTGACGTTTTCTTCAAAGGCAAAAGAACTTGAGAACTTGCTTCTACTACAGAATTGTACAAGACACTTAGCTCTACCAACGTTGAAAAAAAGAATAGATTTCGTTGGAACGCTACGCCAGGCGAGTCGAAATGCCTAGCGTAACGAACTTACAAAAAACAGAAGTGAACTTTGAAGTATCCGCGAAAAGTGAACAGTTCAACAATTGTCTACACTCTTATATTATTATAAAATTATAATAGCTGATTTTGTAGTTCAAACTTCAAACTTCCCTATAATGAAAACCGGAGGAAAAACTACCGCTTGGTCATCGGGAAATCTTCAAAGCAAAAAACGTAACGGACTTATTTCTTCGTAACGGACTTAAACGTTTTTTGCACTTTTTTGGCTGAACTACATCACCTTCGAATTTCAATAAAAAAAAGCCAAAACCTTTTCTTAATAAGGTATGATTGTAGCCCACACATATCTGATTAAAATGAAACGTCTCTCAGCTCTACATGAGCTTTCTTTGCAAAGTTATAGAATTTACAAGAGAAGCCCGAAATATACATTGTGAGCTCAAAGCTACAGAAATAAGAAGAAATTAATTTAGGGCTTTTCTTGTAAATTCTATAACTTTGCAAAGAAAGGTCGTGTAGACCTGGGAGACGTCTCATTTTAATCAAAAATGTGCGGACTACAATCATACCTCATTAAGAAAAGTTTTTGCTTTTCTTTTATTGAAATTAGAAGGTGGCGATTTTTTAGAGTTTCTGAAAAACTGGCTTTCTAGAAAACCGGGTATGCAAGAGCCATGGGAGAAAATCCTTTTAGGGTATTTACTACCTCACTGAGGTCTATCAATCCATGTACAAAGCATGGCGCTTTGTAACTAAATGAAAGCTTTCGACTTTGCTCACGCGGGTGAACTCTTACGTGGAGAGGGGTGGCAAAATATATGCATCTAGTATAAAGTCGATGCATCTAGATCGAAAGATCGAATGTCGACATTCGATCTTTCGATCTAAATGCATCTACATGGAAAGATGGAAGTGGCTCACTCTCATCTTCCCATACTAGATGCATATATTTTGCCACATATGTACGTGGATGACCGTTTATTTCTTTTCTTTCTCGTCAGTCTGTTATTTCCTGGCTTTTTATTTTTGGTCATACCTGTCGTTGCTTGTTTCTGTCTTTCCTTTCTTACACGCATTTCTAATCTTCTTCATAAAGGTAAAGGTTTTTTTTGGTGTTGATTACGAGAACACTAATAATTCCCACGAGAATTTTAGTCTCTTGCACGAGAATTTTATTTCTAGCAAAGGAATTGAGAATATCACCGAGACATTCTCCACCAGAATTTTACTTTCACACTGGAATTTTCAGAAGTACCACGAGAATTTCACTCTCTTCCACAAGAATTTTATTTCTGTCAAAGGAATTGAGAATATCCCAGACACAGTCTCCACGAGAACTTTACTTTCACACGCGAATTTTGAGAATTACCATAGGATTGTATTGCCTTGCACGAGAATTTTAGTTTCTTGGACGAAAATTCTTTTGCTAACAAAGGCGTTGAGAATATCCAAGAGACATTCTCCGCGCGAATTTTACTTTCCCAGGGGAATTTTGAGACTTACCACGAGAATTTTACTCTCCTTCAAGAGAATTGTAGTCTCCGGAACGAGAATTTTATTTCTGTCAAAGGAATTCAGAGTATTCCTTTGATTGAATGATATGTCCTAATACCTTAATAAACACTCAATGATTCAATTTTCAACATCGTTCTGTGCGCATGAACAATTAAAAATAAAAAATAAAAAATTAAACAATTAGATTTTAATTCAGTATATGAGTTAGGATTTGAAAATGCTAAAGAAATTATTGCATTTGGATTCAATCCTCAAAAGACATTTATATTTTCGAATCGTGACTATCGAATTCAAGTATCTGAATATGAAAAATTTGTTTCTGAAATGAAGAAAAACATTTCCACTAAACAGGTATCAAAGATTTTTGGATTTGGTGAATGTATTGTTGATGCGAATGGTGAAGAGCATTATGTGTATAAAGATGATGTTACCGTTGGAATGATGGATTGGCCATTTTATCAAAGTGCAGCAGCATTTTCACAAGCATTTCCTTATATATTTAATGGAAAACCTGCTCACTGTTTAGTTAGTTATGCATTCGATCAAGATAATTATTTTCGTATGGCTAGAGATTTAGCAACAAAACTGAAATTGTTAAAACCATGTTCGATTATGTCAATATTTTTAGATCCAATAAAAGGTGCTGGTAAAATGAGTAGTACATCCGGTCAAGAAGCAACACTATTCTTATCGGATACACCTGATGTTATAAGAAGCAAAATAAATAAGCATGCATATTCTGGTAGTCGCGGAAATGGACTGCTGTTGCGCTCTATGGTACAAATGTGACAGTAATGGTTAATATATGATATAATTACTAAAACCGTTTAATGAACTTTAGCTTTAAATCAAAAAGAACACATTTTGCTAGCAAAATTACAAACTTTGAGCTTGTAAAATAAAGTAAAAACTATACAAAATGTAGAAACTATTCCACATATATCGAGTGAGTTGGCGGGCTAGCATCGCGGTGAGAAAGAGTCACCTAAGAAAGCCGTTTATTTCATAGTAACGGTCGAACCGTAGATGAGCAATTAGTCGATGCCATCCTTTCTGTACTAAGCTAAAGTTTATTAAGCTTTCAAACCAAATAGTCAATTTTACCTCATTACGAAGATTTTTTTCTTTCAACGAAAGGAAAACGATACACTAGAAATTTTCCTGATTTTCTCACAAGTTAACTAATTAAAAGGACACCCTTCTCCCATTTTTAACTAATATAGAGTAGTTGACTCGAACTTTAAGATAGATTATTTTTCCGAAAAGGATAGTGCCTAGTTTTTGAGTTATCTGATGATTGTTTGACAAAAACAAAGCATTTTTTTCTTATCGAAGCGAATATTCATTTAAACAAATTAAATATTAGTGGTCAAGTTGTGAACGAAGTTTGTTCAACTAAGATGGCTTTTCGGCTTTCTCTTCTGGCCATGGTAGACAAGTCTTTGAAATCAATAATGAAATCAATGTTCTCTCTCTGTAGTATGAATTTGCGCATGATCAAGCATTGACTTTTCAGGTTTCCACGTGGGTAAAAGAAGAGAGCCAGTTTATCTATAATAAACACTGGGATGAAAGTATTTATTTACATATGCTAGGTCGCTATGTTTGTCCAGGAGAAGCAACTGTATTAGCTAGAAATAAAATTCCAGGTTCGATTTTGATAAAGTCTACACTTGCTCGATCAGATGACGTTTGATCAAGATAAGTTTTGATCTTAATCACACATTTGGCTTCGATATCATATACAAATATGTATATATATAATATGTTTACTTTACAGAACATGAGGAAATAATCGAAAAATGGTTTCATATGCTGCCAAATATTAAAATACTCGTTGGTAGTTATCATACATTGAGCTTACTATCATCACGAATAAATATAATAAAACATTTTGGAAATATTATCCAGTTAAAGGTTGATTACATGCAGAAACAGGAACAAAGTACCGTTACATTTCTGACGTATTTTCCAAATTTACGCCATTTTTATGCAATCAACTACGATCAAGACATTACGGATATTAGCGATCTGATAGAAACGATCATTGGAAAATTGTATCAGTTAGAAAGCATGATTATTGAGTTCAAACAGGATACCAATTATATGAGTACCTTGACAGAACTCGTGACTGAAGGTCATTTACGGTATCGATAAGGTTCTTATTGGACTAATAGTAAACCGTTACGGATTGAGAATTGGACAGATAATACATCTTTTGTTTGAAATTATAACTACGTAGATGACATATATTCAATTTTTGGGAGAACACTTTCTCAACAGAATGAGTGTTTTCTCAAAATATCACGAATCGATAGTCGAAAATAAAATGACAAAAATATCTTTATTTTTGGTAGAGTCTCACCGAGTTAATATCGATATTTAACATCACCGAATTTATTTTTCGCTAAAGGTGATGTGCTAAAAATAAAAGTTGAACGCCTATTGGATATGCATATTCAGTTCTAATACAATGACTAAAAGTGATTGGCATAAAAACGTATAAATATCAACGACTCAATCAAAAGATATTATTAGCTTATATTATTTTACATAAGGCGAGAAAAGACGGTTACAACTGTTTCACACGCCATAATTGATAAGTTAGTTAAAATTTGTGAAATGAACTAAAAATACTTTAACTTTGATTCTGGCTTTTAATCGAAGCTTCAGTTGCGCTTGTTTTACGTATATATCAATTAAGTAAAGATGCTTGACCTACCTTTTTTCGCCTCACTAAGAAATTATTGAACGAAATCGTAGCTGATTCTCCACTAGATTTAGACAAACATGCACGCTTAAGACGAAACTAATGAATAAGATAATTTTCTTTTCACTGCTTTATCTCCAATAAATAAAGGCATAATCTCTGTTCGACGGTTCTAATTTTGAAACTTTGTGAACTAGTATAGAGTTTGGGGAGATATGCAGAATATGATCTATCAAAAATACCGTGGCAGTCAAGTCCCTGAGTGACGTTAAAAGCTCACAAGGAAGTTGAAATAAATTTAGACTTTTAGCACATTTGACGTTGAAATACATGCCAGATGGACCGATTCAGAAAATAGCTGCCTGTTTCACAAGTTAACAACAAGAATTATTGGAACAGTTTTGTTAATAACGGCGGAATAATATATACTTTTTCTTCCTTCGCATTGTACAGTTATTTAAAAACCATGAACAATATATGTCTTCAAAAGATTCTGTGGAACAGATGACAGGATCTCAGACACAGATATCTCCATCTTAGTGCAGAAATCTTAATGATAGTCTTCTATCTTTTGAGAATAACAAATTAAACACTAATTGCTTTTTAGAATTCTAGCATTTAAGTATTTCAAGTCCTAATAGCAGTATATCTTTTACAAGATAAGTGCTAATGTTACATAACCCTTGTTTTCCTCCTTTTCGAACTCATTATTAGTTCGGAATGGCTATTGACAGTGTCAATAGCCATTCCGTGACACGTCTGTCCTTCGTGACACCTCTGATGGTGGTGTCAATTTGACACCACTATCAAAGGTGTCACGAAGGGCTACTGACACCTACTGGAGGTGTCAGCAATGGGTATTGACACCTACTGGAGGTGCCAGGAAGAATGAAATTTAGATCTCTGGTTGAATATATCTAGATGTGCCAAATATGTGCATTTAGTTATCTATACATCGGATGCATATCCTGATGCTAGTTCTTGTGCCACATTAATCAGGATGTTATACATTTAATAAGATGGCGATATCGTATGCGACTTATCGGTCGGTTTGTGGTGGATAAATATCCTTATACTGGGCCATAGTACATTGTGTACACTTGAAGTATGATGGGTGTGAGGAACCTATATTTCCTCTAATTATAAGTCCTTGAGTTGATTGTATGCGTGCGTTAAGATATGTAGTATTACTCTTTTATTCGACTACTCTTTATCACAAACTACAAAAAA